GTGTGACATTCTTGAAAATGCAAGCGCATAAAGATAACATGTTGATTTTAATGCTGAAATAAGGTTAAATTATTGTAGTAATGATAAAAGAAAAAAAGAAAAGTTTGAAAAAAAAATTTGAAAAGAAGAATGAAAAATTCTCACTGGGATAAAGCCTTGCAACACCACTCATCAGTCGCGAATGCTTTTTCAAGATACTAGTTAGTCGCAAATCGGTGAAAACGACTGACCAGATGAATTCAAAAATTCGTTGATAAATCCCAAGTGCGCTAAAAATAATGAAGATAAACAAAGAAATTTGTAAATTTGACGATATTTCTTTTACAAAGTAATCAAAAAATAGTGCAGACTTTGAATCGTTTCAATTTTGCAATTAACGAAGAAAAATCAGAAATAGTGCATACGCCTAGAAAAAAACTGAGAAAAAAATCGTTTTTCTATTATTATTGTTGGGATTATACTCAAGAATAAATCTGCCTTTTGAAAGTCTGGATGAACTGGCGATTAACACGGATTTTGAACAAAAGCGATTCCACTTCTAATTTCGAAGAAAATTGACGAGAAGAAAAATGTATTCTAACAATCAACAACTATCAAGGAATCAGCCAATTAGATTTCTCGGTTTGTAACAAGAAAAGATGGAACATATTTAAATTTAAGCGAAGGATGATTCCAATTCCAACAGGTAGATCACAACAAATCTAAGCATTTTTTCCAAATGGAGAAATTTTTGCGGAATTGCAGCAAAATTGAAACAAAAGTTTGAATTTATCCAATGCCCACATTTACTACTATGAAATATAATCGAAAGTGAAAGTGAAAAAATATAATCGAAAAATAAAAGAAATTAAGAGGTCGTCTTCCTTTAAACATTCCAGAATAAAATTTGGATTCTGCTTTAAAAAATTCATTAAAAAATTTAGGCGAAATTCGCCTATAATCCACTTCGCCAAGTGCTTCTTATCAGGGTACAAATACGAAAAAATCAAACCTTTTATTCAATATGATAGACAATGGAGCCTGAGCTGTATATATAAGATGAACTGATGGGCAACCGGCAGATGAAATGGAAGGAAAAGCAGGATTTTTTAAATCGCAGCTTCTCGTAACACATGTAGCATCAATTCTAGCATGAGAAGATAGTGTCTCTGGCCAGCTTTCACATAATCTAATGGCACCAGAAAATGCAGCCGAAGTTGCTTGAGAATCAAGCTGACTAATATTTCCACTGGTTTCAAATCTATAATAATAAGATTTAATAATAAAATCTATAATAAAATAATTTCCAAGCATATAAACAGATTCCAAAAGATTAAATTTACCGAATAAAATTGTAGAAATTCAGTGCAAAATATTCGTTGATTAAAAAAAAATGTTCACGAACAGTTTTTAAATGAATATATAAAAAATATTCATCGATTAAGCATTGTAATAATTCCGAATTAACATCATCGTATAATCTAAAAAATTATATTTAAATTATAGCATATTTCATTTATTCAAACCAGCTTATAAAAACTTGTTGCTAGATAGGAATTTTAAAGCTTTTGGGGAATAGCAAGACAATATACGAAGTAGTTTCTACATAAAAAAAACTAACTTGTTTATCACATGGAAAAACTGATAAGCTTCGATAATATTAAAATAACAATCAGGCATTACTTCCATAAATAGCCTAGAGCGCTTAAAAGATGACCTACTAGCAATGTCCAGTTTTTCCATTAATGCGACTGATTTGCCGATAAGAAGAATCTGAAAACATGAAATTAGAGGAAAATAAAATTGAATAGATCAATGCGAAATGAGAAATAATAAAAATAAATATAAATAAAATAAAAATGAATCAAACACTTATTACATTTATAAGTTTTAAGTATTCAAAAAATTATTCCATGAATATTAATGAACAAACCTTCTTGGATAAACCTGGCGACGCTGAAAAAATCAAAGGTATTTTATCATCCAAAATTTTAAATGAATCATTCCAATGAACACTAACATCCATTTGAACTATCATACACTGCAAATGTACAAAATATAACAGATTAATTTTTAGATTATTAATATTAAGAAATACCATTAAATTACCTTAATATTCGATCTTTCAAGTGATCCAGAAATTAGCCAACCACGAAACCATTCATGGATCATGTTAGACATCGCTGATAAAATGGTAGTAAGTGATTGATACATTGGACCTCTTGGAGTGGAACTAAATTCAAGATTAATAAATACGATAATTTTATATGATGATATATCGATCAGTTTCACTTGAATTTGACATAAAACAAAGTTTTTTTTAACGTATAAACATCATTCAAACTTTTCCAAAATAAATGGTAATAAAAGTATACAGGATAATATTAAAGAAACTGGAAAAGAACAAAAAAATAAAGAAGAGTACCATCTAATTAAATATAAATTATTGAAAATTTGCATGCCATTCAATGTAGAATTATCTTTTACTATTTGTACCAACATCGGCAAACGATCCTCCCAGTAGCAAAAACTATTACGAATATATAAGACTGTAACAGTTGACGGCGAAACAAGAAACTAAACGAGAAGATTTCATAATATAAAATAGAATTTTAAGAATATTATGGAATTTATTAAGTACAAATAAATAAGTGAAAATAAGCTTATATAAAATTTAGAAAATAATAAATTTAGAAAATTTAGAAAATAATACCTGCTTATATAAATCGGAAATTATCTGTTCATAATCAATCAACAAATCTCGAAAACTATTAAAGAATGCCTGAAAATTATTACAGCAAATCCACAAAAACTCGAAAAAACTAAGGTAATTCGAAAATATTATACTTGAACAAGCAAATCTGAAGACTGGGTATGAACCAGCAGATGAAGTTCAGAATAACAATTAGCGATAGATAAGACCGGAATTAAGTGAAGCAATAAGGAATCATCAATAGAACAACAAGGATCAACACGGAATGGACCTTCACGACTTCCAGAACGAGTTATGTACCTTCCTTCGAGAAGCTGTAATGCTCCCAATACTTGTCGTATGATTTCTTCATCCGACACTACTGAAATTTTTATTAGTGGATCTGAATTTGGAAAAATCAGGTATTAGTCAAAATATGATCATAAATTAAAATCAGTAAAACGGAAAACCTGATGGAACGCTACATCGACCATTTAATCTGCATACTTTGGACTGCAATTTCCGTTCTATTTTCAAATGTTTTGAGCTCAAATAAAAAATATGAAAGAAAAAAGAAAGAATCCAAAATACAAAAGTAAATACATTGAATATTATTTAATTTTTATTAATATTTTTTTTGCACTCTAGACTCTTGAAAGAATAGCCAGGATAAATACCTTAAGTAATGATGCTCGTTCCGAACAGGTTTCGCGAAACTGATAATCTTTGTGGATGTGCTTGGTGCTTTTAAGTCTGTTGTGGCCAAATTATTTTCTTTATCATCCCGTTTTCCTTGCCTAACCTGAATGAAAATAAGAGAAAACATTAAGCCAAAGTTAAATGTATTTTCCGTCTTGAAATGAAAAATTTTCAAAAAGTAAACCTTAGCAGAAATAATGAAATTGATAACTTCAATCGGATCACGTATGTCGTTTCTACTCAACAGTTTCTGTGCTAAACGAGAAAACTCGATAGCGCGAGATTCGCTTCGTTTTGCCACTGAAAAAAAATAAGACTGGACATATAAAAATTTATCATTCTATCTTTTAATCCATTTCTACTCTAACTTTATATGCGACAAATGAGAGAATTACAAGATATACAGTAAATATTTTCCAGTAAAAGAAATTTTACAAAATTTACAATTCATAAAATTCAAAAACTCACATTTCTTTCTAATTTTACCAATCACATCATAAGAATTTCGAATTTCTAATTGAGGTGCGCTTGTCAGAAATAAGCAAATGTCATTACGTTGTTCGGCTTAAAATATTTGAAAAATTTATTTAAGCAAATCAACACTGAATTAAAAAATTCAAAAATGAAAAAATGACTTTATATCAATTTGCATCCTCTTCAAAATGTCAATTTTAAGGCGGACAAACCAAAAAGCCTTACGAACCTCAAAAAATGAGTTAAACCAAACTATGTTCGATCAAATCTCACATCTGTGAAACTTAAATTTCTCATTCATTTTTTTTTCATCGCTTTTAAGTTTATAAAATTAACTGGTTTATTTTAATAAGCAAAATGTTTACGATCACAATTGAATTCTTGAATAAAAACGTCCAATAAGGCTCCGAAATCAGCTTTCGTAAGATCCATAATTCTAAATTTAAAATGCATGACTTAAAATTAAAAATTACATATAATATAATAAAATATAATATAAAAAAAATAAATAAAAAAAATAAACTAACTTTTAATTCAAAAAACCACGCTTTCTCGCAAAATATAGTTTAAGCTTTAATATTTAGATGAACTCAATAACCATAACTCGATTATTTGCATGAATATTAACGGGTGAATTCTATATTTAAATAAATTTGCATCATTTTTATAATTCTATATAAAATCGCAATGATACTTAATAAAACTTAATAAAAAGAGAAAATGTATGACGAAAAAGAAAAAAAAAACAAATTTGATAATTAAACATCAGAATAAACTCATTGATATAAAAAAAGAAAGCAAAACCAGAGAAGGAAAATTTATTTCCTTGAAAACTCAAACAATAAAATGAAAAATTCTCTAAATAAAAAAATAAATTCCAATTTCCATTCAATGAATAAAACTTTATTCTCATTTCAGAATTTAAAAAAAATATGGAAGATTTCTGGGCAAAACTATTCATTTACTTGAATCAGTTTTATTAATCGATATGCAATATCTCTAAACATTTAAAAAATCTTCATTTTTCCAGAAAGTTTTCAACTTTAAAAAATTTTAATCAAACAAAAAAAATCTAACAGTCTTATAAGTTAATATAAGTTAAAGTAAAATCTGGTGAACATGAAAAAACCCAATAAAAACTGTATTATACAAAATACTATCCATTTTTCTTGAAACCATATTTTTTTCTCTCATAAAACAAATCAGTTTTAGCACTACCCAAATTGACAATTTTTGGACATCCATCTCGATCTTTTTCCATAATTGTACATTCCTTGCAATAATATGCATCGCTTACACCAGAACCTCCACAGATTACACATCGACCCTTCAAAAACATATTTGATAAAGGAGACAAATGAAATTTATACTAACTTTCTCAATTAATTTTAAAAAAACGATAAAGTTAGCGATCTTACCTTATCAATTAAAGTGTTAAATAACATAACAATGTATTTGCTCGAAAATCTTATAGTCTGTGGTAAAATTGTGATTGTGATGGAAAAAAAAGAAACCTGATATGAGCCATAATTACATTCATCGCATATTCGTACTAAAGTGCATGGTCTCACGTACGAATCACAAATTACACAACGCCCATCGCCTTAAACAAATTCAAAAAAATAAAAAAGTCCAACAACTGTCGATAAACTAAAACTAACAAATAATTAAACGTTTAAATTAACCGCATTTCAAAAATTTCAAAACTTAAGAAATTTAAGCGACAACAAAAATATTCAAAAATATGGTAACACCATATTGTAAATTATGGCAAAATTTTAGTACTCATTAAATTATTGATAATTCAAATATTAAAGATATTAAAGATTAAAAATAAATGAAAAAAACATTTTTCGCATAATCGTCCGATTGCAACACCAGGTTGTTTTCGACAAAAAATTAAATCTGGATGATGCTTCGCCATTTAATTCAACTGAAATGACAAGAAAATAAACAAATTTGTGACAATTAATATTTTAAAATATTCGAAATAAATTAGTAACTTTGCGAGGAAAGTTTTACAAATAAAAAGTAGAATTCATTTCTCAATTGCTCTAATTGTTTATTATTTAAAAATATTTTACACAAAATATAGAAAAAATATAAAACATTTAAAAAAAATATCAAACAATGAGATTAAAACATTTTTTCACCCATCGCTCTCCACTCGTTTCCCTAATAGAAGCATAAAATAACTAAAAATGGTATTTTGGGAGCTTATATTTATTTTAAGATGGACAGGAAGATTTATGGTTTTCAATCTCATAATAAAAGCTACATTTTATCTCTAACTTATAAGGTACTCTAATATTATGGTATATTTTCTAATATCTTCTCCAATTCTTTTCTCCCTTATTTTGTTAATTCTTTTGCGGGGCATAGCAGGTGCGATCCGGGTGACCCGCTCATATTTGCAGCTTTTTTCGCCATTGGAGACAAAAATTATAAAAACCAACAATGGAAATAAAAACTGAGAATTTCAAAAAAAATTTCGCGAAAATAAAAGAAATGAAGTGAAAATAAAAGAAATGAAATCCTATCAAAAGTATAAAAAAATTAACCACGAGTGAAATTCTCTAAAATAATTTAATAATATTTAATAAAACAAAAAAATTAATATTAAATTTTAATATTAAATTAAATTAATAAAATTTAATTAATAAAATTAATAATTAATAAAAAATAAATGAATAAAATAAAAAACTTAATATAATTTGTGGAATACTGAAAATATAAAAATATTTCATGAAATTCTCTTCTAATGGAAGAATCTAAAAAATCTAAAATAGTTAAATAACCAATAAAATAAAAATAAATGTAAAAATGCAAAAAAAATCCAAAAAATAAAAGAATAAAATATGCAAAAAACGTAAAAAAAAATCTTGATTAGTAAGATTAATTTCATTTACAATTGATCGAATGTATTGCTTCGAATATGAGTTCAATCAGAATAGGATTCGCACCTCCTTGACCTTCGATGAAAATAGAAGTCGGGACAGTGCTGCAACGATTTACAGCTAATAACCTCTTATAAGCGATTAGAAGAGACCTCAAAAGACGGATTGTCATTCCAGCAACTAGCGAATAGACCAAATGGCTAATTATAATATTTGCAGGTGATACGGGGAATTAAATAATTACTACGTAAGCTAATAAAAAAATAATGAAGATGATAAGTGATTAAGAATCAGTTGTCCGCAACAATTAGGCACCGCGGACTGGCTTGAAGAAATTTTATCAGAGGAGCACTATGGAGGAGCGGTGCAAGCGGTCCACCGGTGCTGCTCCCGAATTCCTTAATGAGATGAGTTTAGCCGACGGCCATGAGAAAGCCAAACCAAGCCAAGCCTAGCAATAATATTCAATCACATTTGAATGAAATAAAATGTAGACTGACGGCATAAACTGCGAATGCACGCAAAACTACAACAATAATTCAATGGGCAACAAATTTTTTAAAAAATCTTTAAAAAAGCGCGCAGAGACTGAGTTTTAAAGGACGAACTAAGTCGCAATTCTCTAAAACTCGGTTTCCGGGAACTTTTAATTTTTAAACGCTCGGCTTCTTCGGCTGAAATTTTTTTCATGGAAAAATTCTGTATTTACCTATTCGTTGATAAAAATTGTGTTTTGTTGAAATTATATTTTATTGAATGATTTTTTCCCCAATATAGTTCTTTCACTTTACTTTTTTATTTTAAAATGTTGTCCAATGCGGAATCCGCTGAAGGTGCAGTCTAAAATGCAGCTTCGAAGTCTAAAACGCAGTCTCCTAGTTGTGAAACAATGCTTGTTGAAACGTCACCCAACTCTGAAAATGATCCTTCCTGGTTCGTATTTCTATGCATATTAAAATGCATTGGAAAAGGTGGTCCGAATTTTTTTCCAGAGTCAGTGGCTTGGAGGAATTCGCGGAACGGGGAATAAAGATTTATTTCTTCACTAAGTAAGTTGTTCCAAATATTGTTTCTGATTGTTGCTTTCTGATTGGCGCTTTAATCAAACTCTTCGCTGCTATCACTCTTATCACTAATGGTCATCACTGTTATCATTGCCAGTGATTACAGTTTTTGTCAGTAGTTGTGCTTCGCAAATAGGAATTAAGACTTCAACGGCGTAAAAGTATTTCTATAAACTTTTATTTATTTTAATTGGCTTACGAGTTATGATCGAATGAAGGTTTTATTTTTTTATTTTTTATAATAAATTTTTTTCTTAACTTTTTAAAAATGACGATTTCAAGTTTCAAAGGATTTTTTGGCAATAATGCAGTATTACAGAAAGGTAAGCTTAGGTTCAAGCTTATCTTATCGTAGTATCAAAAAATAAACTTCGACACTGATTGTCATTCACTAATTTCAGATTGATTGCAACAGTAAAATGGTTTGTTTAAGCGGTTCTTCGATCTACGACGATGATAGGCGATTGTTTTTCGATCGTTCAGTTCTTTCATTAAATTTTTTATTGTTAGTTCTGTTATGACATATTGTTTTCTCTTATCTCGATATTAACAATGCTTAGTTTTCCTTTTTGAATCCTTTATCATTCCGGTGAAGACTATGGACTTCTTTTATAAATTGGAGATTAGTGGAAGGAATCCGAATTCAGCGATTTCTGGATCCCTTTTCCAAAATGGAAGTAAGAGAAAAAACTGAATTCAGCGATTTCGTTCTTTTTCGAGATCTTATTTTTCGCGATTTGGTAACTTTCAGACAATATTGATTCATTTATTGAAGTCAGCGCTAAGATATTCAGACGATGTCTTATTTAAACATTAATAGAACAAATAATCATATCGAAAGCGAATATTTAAATGATGGCATTGTTGCGATTGAACGACACTGTCATTCCACTGTTGCAGTGAAGAATGACGTAAGTTTTTGCTTGGTTCTATTGCCATTTAGTTGAGTTGCACTCGGGAGAGATTATGAACGCACAGGCAGTCGCCCTGTGATATTTGTACTCAGACGATGGCGAAATGAGATGGCTTCTTTTAATGATTTCACGCATTGCATCGAATCGAATAGCTCGGCTTAAAGATTTCAGTTTTTCAAGTAAATATTATTTTTATTTAGGACGGTCGAGCTTCGCGATTATTATGGGTTCTTCTTTTGCTTTGCATTTTCTTCATAATTATTGAAATAGCTGGTGGGTATTATGCGAATAGCATTGCAGTCATGACAGATGCATGTCATATGCTTAGTGATTCACTGTCTATTTTCTTATCAATTATTGCAATTCGCATTTCCAGGCTACCAGGTATTTTAATGATATTTCAAGTAATAAGATTATTGTATAGTGCTCCTAATTTGTTAATTTAATTTGTCTAATTTTATGTATCCTTTTATTTATATATATATATATATCAAGAATTTTCATGTTATATAACATTTTCAGCGATTGTAGTAATGATAGTTGAGTTTTATATTGTTTCGGAGAAAGGGAAGGAGGTCGTAATTTTTTGATTTTCTGCTATTAAAAGTAAAACACGACCGACGCTGAGATATTTTAAGCAGTGGCAGAAGAATTTTGCCGTTTTAATCGATCTAAAGCAAAAATGTTACTGGAAAGAAAAGAATTGCTTTAGCTTGATTCTGGTTTATATTTTTTTATTTAATGAGCCATTATTTTACAGCTAATCGACGATTATCATTTGGTTTTCACCGTGCTGAAGTTCTGGGCGCATTATTGTCGATTCTTATCCTTTGTTCCCTAACATTTCTTCTTGTATATTTGGCATATCGCAGATTGACTGCTGATAAATTGGAGGTTAATACTAATACTTTTTTTTTTTTGCTTGGTTCTATTGCCATTTGATGCCATTTGCTTTTATGAAAGATTATAATTTATTATAACAAATGAGTCTGATTAAAATATTTTTGCCAGCTTAACCTATTTTTTTTCTCAAATCGAATTTAAATTGATATTTAGATTAATGTAGATATGATGATTGTCACAGCGATTGCTGGAGTTGCCTTTAATTTGATTATTTTTGGCGTTATTCATCTTTCAAATCCTTCACATCATTCCCATCATTCTCATTCATCTATGTAAGTTTTGATTAGTGTCGATAATAACGGTAATTATTCTTCTAACTGGTGAAAGATATCTTTTTGTTTTATATTTCCTTCTATACTTTATCCTTTTTTTAAATATTTTTCATTTTTTTTCCTACTTCTTCCACCTTTTTCATTATATTCATTATTTTATATTGGCGCAAAAGATTTATGAGGCGTAATATTTATATTTATCTTATTATGAAAGCATTTTCCGGATATTTATAGGTCTAATATAAATGTACGTGCGGCTTTCATTCATGCCCTCGGAGATTTTATTCAGTGCATTGGCGTTTTAATCGCTGCATTTATAATAAAGGTTAGTAAGATAGTTATTTATATTTTATCGATTTCATTTTTTCTTTCTTTTGTCAATAAACTGAATTCTTAACATTTTTTTGAAGATGGAACTCTGTTACTGTCAGCTTTTTTGTCTTCTTTTGCTTTTTGCAATAAAAATTAGCTTAAATGATTTTCATTATTTTATATTATTTTATATCAGATATATATCTATTATATATCTGCTCCAATTTTAATGCTCACTTTGGCTTGTTCAAAAATTTATTTTAGTTTACTGGCTGGACCACTGCAGATCCCCTCTGTACATTTTTATTCTCCATAATTGTACTGATGACAACATCAAAAATAATTTGCGATATTATTAATGTTTTAATGGAAGGTTGTTCGAAAATTTTCTTGAAATCTTTTTTGAAAATTTTTTATTATTCTATTATTCTAACTAGAAAGAAATTCTATAGGAATGTGTAACTATGGTTTTGGATAAAAAAATCGTGATCTGATTAAATGACTGATTAATTCTAAGCGACAAACAATTTATTAATGTTTAACTTGTTATTTGACTAGGGCAGCTGCACCTGTTTCTATAAGAAGTATATAGATATCAACACAGTTCAGTACTAATATTAGTATTAAGATAAAAATTAAAAGAAAATTATTATAATGGTCGTTGAAAATTTTAAAGAAAAGTGGCAAATTATCTGAAATAAATTCAGGTGTTCCTTCTCACGTAGACTACGATTCGCTGCAGGATGATTTAAAGAATATTAATAATGTTTATACGATCCATGATTTGCACATCTGGTCTTTGAGTCTGAATCGATTAGCACTTTCAGTTCATATTGTTATCGGTAACTTTACTTTAAATTTATTATTATTATTTTTGATTCTAATTTTCGATAAAGTTTTCATTATTGAGTTTATTCAGATGATTCAACTAAAGCAATAGAGACAACAAGGAAAGCTGATCAAATAGTTCGTCTAAAATATGGAATACATTTAGCTACCATTCAAGTTGAACTTTTTGATAACATAATGTCATCGTGCAATTTTTGTAAATCCCTATAACGAAAATCGCAAAGCAAAAAGGAAATCTTAGAATTATGAGAGAAAAGTATTTTAGAAGACTTTTGGGTTTAACTGTTAATTTCCTAAATTTTATGAAAGGAATCTTTTTATCGCTCAGAATTAATACGCTTTTCTTATTATTCTTTCATTATTAAGATGAAATTTTTCGCTTTTTTGCTATGATGATTCTTATTTTCTTTATTTATTACTTAATTTTTTTTTTCTTTCGTTCATCTTGTTTAATATTTTCAGAAACGAAATTTTTTTTATTTTTTTAAAATTTATTCGATTATATCCTTTTTTATATCCATTTTTTAATATTCCTTTTAATCATTCCTTTTTATAAAATTTCTTTTTCCCTTATAATTCTACTGTTTTTATAATTATCTTTTGGTTTTCCGCAGGTTTCTGCGAACTGGTCGTTTACTCTTTCTCCTATATTTTATAATTTTTTGGCTTATCATTCAATGCTGCATTCAAAAATTTGTGATTCGTTTTTCTATTTTTATGAATATTTCAAATATTTTATGAATATTTTATGAATAATTTTGGAAAATTAGTAAATTAGAAATTAGTAAATTAATTATTAAATTAGTAAATGAATATAAGCTGTCTCCTCTGACTTTTATTTTTATCAGGAAGTCAGTAGAAGTACAAGCAGGTCACCAGAATCGCCATTTTTTTTTACGGATTTATTTATGTTAAGAACAGTGGCTTAAAACATATTGTTTAGTAATAAATACATAAAATTTTAATAAAATAAGCCCAGTGAAATAGCGATATATGAAAAGAATCCATTTGTTTTGTAGGACATATTTTATTAATATTGTAAATTAATAGTTAATAATTAATAACTGTATAAAAGGATTCTTTAATAAATTCTTATCATTTTATGATTACAGATCAGAGCTGTTGTCTAAATTGTATTTTATTTTTATTTCTACTATTTCTACTGTTACTGTAATTGTAATTTTATTTCTTTATACTTAATTTCAATAAAATATTTGTGTTTATTGATGTTTTTTTGGCTTTTCGAATTTTACTATTTTTGATATTTAATATTTTTTTAATATTTCTTTCTCTCATATTTTGAATTCTGAGAAATTGTCATTTTCTAGGTCAGATTCTGAATTATCAGTCTGTTGATCAGCTTTTGAATTTGAAAGCAGTTTTAAGTTTCTTCTGTAACAGTAGAAATGGTAGAAATGAAATGAAAATAAAGGGCATTTGAAGAAATTTGTGATTAATCGCATTTAACCAAATAGCCAAGTATTTTGTTTCAGGAAATTTAAATATTCAGAAGTAGCTTTTCTGCATTAAATTTAGTTAAATTAAATTTCTCAGGTACATTAAAATGATTCTGCAAAAAGATTATAGCAAAAGAAATCGAAAAAAAAAGTTCCAGGTTACTATCGATCGGTTCAACTATTGTTATGTTTTTATCGTCATTTCTATGGTTAACAATTTTTTTCAGTCTGCCATCGAAATTGTTGGGTAACATATATAGTTGTGAAGGATATGTGAAGTCTGACGGTATTCAAATAGATTTCTCGAAAATTCAGGTAATTTGGGCCAATTTTTTATTGATAAATTTGTTATAACATGCACTGATAATTATTTTATAATATTATTCGATGATTTTTATCTACTATATGGTCTAAAAACATTGAATTTTTTAGGTGAAATTGCTAACAGTTGAAGGGAATTTGAAATTTGAGGCTGATTGCAATCCCGCAAATGGCTTATATATGATACCAATTTATAACAAAGGCGAATATAATATTCGATTATTTGCACCCGATGGCTTTTATTTCGTTAAGTCTTCATATTCATAAATTTTCATAAATTTTTCGTAAAGAAAAACAAAAAATTTGTTCTAGTCAACTGTAAAATGGCAATTAATCTAATGTAAATTTTAAAATGAATGTATGAAAATTTAATTGGTGAGAATATCGGAAACCAAGAACATCAAGTTTTTAAACAATTTTCATCCATTATTTCAACACCAAAAAATATTGAAAAAAATATATAAATATATATAAAAATATATATAATATAAATATAATATATAAAAATACATAAAATATGCACAAATATATATATATATATATATATATATATAAAATATATAAATATATATATAATAAATATATTTCAGAACCAAGTAATGTCCATGTTAAAGTAGATGGAATCAGTGATCCGTGCACAAGAGGTGAAGACATTAATTTCAAGCTAGTAGCATTTGCGATCGAGGGAATATTGCGTAATAGTGATGGCGATGGCCCTGCTGGTGTCTCGTTGGTTTTGCTTTCAGAAAATGGGTTGATTATGGCTGAAACAAAAACAACAGCGAATGGAGCTTATCAATTTCGTGCACCTCCTGGGAAATACTTGGTAATTTTTATCTATAAAAGTTTTTCAAAAATATTCAAGCACTGTTGGCTATAATATATCATGTACTGGAATTAGAATAACAATGGTGTTGACGAAATCTTTTATCACTATCACCATTTACGGTTTGACTTGTTCCGCTGGCCAGATAGATTTTTGCCAGTAAGTTATATGGTGATGTAAATAATAAGAGCAAGTTGTCAACACCATTAAATTGTGCCAGCAGTGAGCCCAGTGAGCCATTTTGTCACACTCTCATCATTAAATGACTAAATAATTAAATAGTACAAGTGAAATCTCACTTTTGTACTAATATATTTATCTCATTATGTACATTAATTTAAGTTATAATATTTATTATTATCTGAGCCAACATATTTAAAAACTTTATAAAATTTTGAAAGATTTAAGGATCATGTTTAATTTTTTAATTCTTCCAATTTACAAAATCCAATAATGGGCCTAACTGGTACTTTAATTTCAATTTATAATTACTATATTAATATTATAAAATCATTATGGTTGAGATGATGTATGAAATATTTTTGAACCTCTTTAATTAATTTATATATTAATTTTAGAAAGATATGTAGCATGCTATACTTTTGATAGATTAAGTTCTATTATTATAATTGAGTAATTCCTGTTTAAGTTCTTTTATATGTAGATTTTTTAGGTTTAAAATAAAATAAAATAAAGAAAATTTCTTAAGCGAAATACTCAAAACAGTAATTAACAATTGTGTAATTTTCCATAATCTGTCGAATGCAAATAACGGATAAATTATGTAAAAAATGCTACTAAATTGTTAGATATTTAAAGGTATCTACTGCTGATGATTCCGAATGTATTGAGCGAAATAAAGTGTCTACAGAAGTTATTTCTTCGCCAGTTCGTGTATCACCAGATTTGAAAATTTCCGGACAGTTATTGAGTGTTGAAATATTATCCAACAATGAACCTTTTGCTGACGCCGATGTCGCATTGTATTCCAATATAATGATCCAGGTTAAATTTTAATTTAACAGCTTCCAATAAGATCGTCGCTAGATATGATAAAATCGCTAAATATAATAATTTGAATATAATTTATATATGATATGAATAATTTGATAATTTGTTGGCATTAATAAAATTTTAGTTTAGTTGCCATACTGTCGAGAAAAAAAAAAATCTGAACCAACTGAATCGACTGAGAAAAATTTTATTTGTTCCATGAGGACGAACACGAATGGTCTTGCTCGTTTTCCTTGTTTGCCACCTGGCAAATACTCTGTCGTACCTTCATTTATTACAAATAAAGTACGATTCACATTCTTACCCAAATTGCACAAAATTATAATAGAATCTGCAGCAGAAAAGGTATTTTTTCATTATTTTTTTATTTTTAAGTTTTTTAAATTACTGTAGAAAAAGTTATGCAGATATTTTTTTCGAATTTATTTCAGATTATTTTTAACGTTCTCGGATTCAGTAGTCGTGGTCGTGTTTTGATTGGTTTAAAACCAGTTGCTGATGCCGAAATATTTGTTAATCATAAAATGAAAACGACATCAGATCAAAACGGATGGTTTGGCTTCTTATTTTGACAATGGTTTATCGCTATTTCATCTGTTTTATTAGCTGATATTGAAGGTATATAATCGAAGATTTGCAAAATGGGAATCATTCAATTACCGCCAAAAAGGAACGATATTTATTTCATGAGATCAACGTTGACTTGAATACGGGCAATGCTGAAATTCCGGATATTATGGTGAAAAGGTGCGCTTTAAAATTCAAAATTATATTTTCTAAATGAGAGAGAAATCATTAGCAAACACTTGTGAATTTCTATTAATGCAAAAACTAAAGCTAAAAAAATTGGTTTATTCAAAATTTATGAAAAAGAAAGGGAGATTGAAGAAGTTCGGTGATTTTTGCAATGGAAGTATTGGAAGTAATTTTCTAAAAATCTTCCTTCGCCTTTTTTTTATTTTTGCTATTTTCATTTTTATTCATATATTTTAATTTATTTTTATTCAATGAACTTCTTCAACCTTATTTTATTAGAGATATTGAATGAAGGACTTCCAAAGTATTTATCTATATTTTGTATTTAATTTTATAGTGTGGAAATCTGCGCAATAATAAAACTTGAGGATATTTTCAAAGTGAATGTCGTCATCCAAAATCAAAAAACGAAATTAAACGAAGCAGTTCTTACTACTGATAAAGGCAAAGTGTGTTCCATGCTACCACCAGGCAATTACATTGTTTCAGTGAGTATTAAATGAGTTTTTTGTTAATTGGCTTTTTATTTTTTAAATTTTTCATTTAATTTTTTAGTTTTATCATTTTTTGTCTAAGAGATACTAACAGCAACTAATCTTTTGTGATTTTCATTAAAAATCAATTTTAACTAAAGGTAACTGGTGAAAATGGATTGGTAATAGTGCCAAAGCAGCGAGAAATTAGCACTTTCGGAGGACCAACTCCTGAAATTATTTTTACTCAGTTCAAAGCTAATATCCACGTTAAAGTCAAATGTAAAGGTACATTCCGATATTTTTTGTGTTTTCCTTTTATTTAAATATTTCTTTTTCGGTATTTTTAGAATTATCAGATTCTTTAGCATGATTAATCGCAATAGAGTGAATTGCAATTTTAAAAGAAAAAGATCCATATTTTATATTTTACAATTTTTACCAGGGAACCACTTGCAGATCCAAATACAAGTGGTTCATTAGCATAATCGGATTATTATTGACAGTTGGGGGCAGAGAACCGATGCAAAAATTGGAAATTAACTATCCTTATTTCATGTTTTCTTATTTTTTAGGTAAATGTCTTGATTTGGTGGTGGAATTATGGAAGGATGATAATAAAATACGAACTGTGGTTGGAAATGAACAATTTTTATTCGATCGAATTATTCCTGATTCATACAAACGTTTGATCTTATTTCTTTGAGCTGTAAAAGTTGAAATTTTTAAATTCTAAAAAGTCATTTCTTTCCGTGTGGATGTATCAATTTATCCTGTGAAATATAATTCGTCAAAACATCAGTTGAACCTATTTCAGTGAAAATTGTCGATAATGGGATTTACTGCTGGGAGCAATCTATCATTGATGTTACCATTGAAAGATCTGATTTAAACGATCTCTATTTTGTGCAGACTGGCCATTTAGCTACTATTGATCTATCGCATCCTGCAAAATTGGTTTGGTTTTTGCTTCATTTTCTTCATTTAAAATTTTGGTTTGTACTATTTGTTATTTTTTATATACATTTTGCAACTTCGTCGATGCTGTGGTAATATTTTACGATTTAAATATTGTTAAGTCTCGAATTCTAATATAATTTTGCAAATAAAAAAATTCAGCAAAAAAAATTTTTTTCTTTTTTTTCAGGAATGGCGCTCATTGGTATACGCTATTAGTGAAGATATTAATTTGCCAAAAGGAATATCCATCCTATGTTTACCAGAAGCGGGTGCTTATTCAGTGGTGCTCAAAGCGTGTCATATTTTTGATCAACTGAAATATGAATTGATTGTTCCACAAAAATTGCCATTAGTCGCAAAAGCAGAAAAATCTCGTATTTCGACTAAAATTATCACCAATGATAGCACCACAAAATCGGATCATTTCTTTTTAAAAGTGAAAACTTCAGTGCAAGAGCAAACTATTAAGGTTCCCTTTAATATTTATATTTTTGCATATAAATCGTACTGATATAACTTCTTTTCTTCAATGGAAATATTTGTTCTTTTGGATATTATAATGTATTATATTTTGGATATATTTTTATATTATATGAATGATACTTTTCCAGGTATCTTCATATTCAAGCGGTGAATTTGATTTTGTTTACCATCTACCAATCTCAGATTCGGGAACAGTCTCTTTAACACCGACATCAGACATTTACCTCTTTAATCCAGAATCTTATATTTTTGAGTTTTCAGGTTTTTCATTGTTCTTTACTATTTCTTAATTTTTTGAAAATTTTCCATTGAGTTTTGTAGAATCCATTTATGTATATTATTCATATTTAGAAAAGGTATTGTCTTAAATACTAAATTTTGGATTTATCAGAAAAAATAATTTGAAGGTGAATGCCATGATACAACAGTATCTTTTGTTGCTATCAGAGGAGTTTTTCTTGAAGGGCAGATACATCCACCGTTAGAAGATGTTGATATTCGACTGGTTCACAAGGTGGATCCAGATTTTGTTCGGAAAGCAAAAACTAATAGCAAAGGACAATTTAGGTTATTTTCCATTTTTACCCGTAATTTATTTCAACGATTTCATTGGAATAATTGTCATTATGAATTATTTATTATATTATTTATATTATTTAACCCAATTTATCAAGAATTCGTTTTTCAGAATTGGCCCGCTTCAAAGTCTGGATAACGTTAATATTGTTGCTGCTAAAGATGGATATAAATTCGAAAAAACAAAAGATTTTGGTATTTTAAAAGCCAAAAAGTTATCACATTTACAAGTCTTTGCCACTGATATTGAATCAAAAGTGCCTCTTGGAAATGTTCTTCTTTCATTAAGTGGTGTCGAGAACTATCGTTCAAACAATATTTTGGACGATACAGGAAAGATCACCTTTGTCGGACTGGTACTATTTCAGAAAAAATGATTCATAATTCAATATTGAATCAAGTAAATGATTATAAAATTTTTTTAATATTTATATCCAGTTTAAATTATAATGAACGTATTTAGCATGCTGGCGAATATTTTCTTCGACCAATTTTGCAAGAATATCAGTTTGAACCAGCCACTACTGCAGTTGTGGTTAGCGAAGAAGAAACTGTAGTCGTTGAATTAAAAGGTCATCGATTCGCCTACAGGTAATTTAAGAAACTATTCATTAATTTTAATATTTTATATATAAAACTTATTCATTAATTTTTATTAAAAAAGAACTAATCATGTCTTAAAAAAAGTGTATTTTATTTCCTATATATCATGTATATTTCATATTTTATATTTCATATTTGAAATATTAAGAAATTTTTATTTTTTCTTATATTTAGTGTTTATGGTAAAATAAGTTACCTTGGCGGTCAACCTGTTGCGTCAATTGTTGTCGAAGCAGTTTCTGAGCAGTGTAGTCAACTGCAAGAGGAAGATATGACTTCAGAGAAGGGTGAATATCGTATACGCGGCCTACGTCCAAATTGCTTTTATAGACTTGTTCTTAAATCAACTGATAGGCAACGTTTGCAGTCATATCCAACCCACTGTGATGTTTCGGTTCGTTTTTTTGTGTTTTTTATTCATCATATCCTTATTAAAATCTTTTTTTGAAATTGATCTAATTAGTTTTATTCATTACTTTGGATTAATATATTTGAATTATAAATTTTGTTTTTAATTTGGACATAAATTTGAATAACTAAAAATTTTTGACGAATATTACGAGTAAATATTTTTTCAGGTTACTAATGATGACATTAAAAACATTGATTTCGCTTTAACTCATATTAGTCGTCCTGTCGATATCATTGGTAGTATTGAATTCGTTGGGTCGACATCACCGTCACAATTTAAAATTGGACTGTATAAAGATGGCTCAATGATTCAGCATACCGTTGTGCACGCTCCATCTTTTGTCTTTTTTTTCCAAGTTCCATCCATCGATTATGCGGTATTTGGATTCTTTTCATTTTTCATTATTTGACTTTTTTCAAAATTATTTCTAGTTCTAGTTTTGTTAATAATAGCAATTTTGATAAGATGTTACATTATTCATGGTAAATACCATTTAGTAATTCGGAAACAGAAAATTTCCGAATTACTAAAATTCTTTCTAATTTTCGAATTTTATTTCAGGAATATATTGTTCGGTTCGAAAATAATCATGGATATTTGGATCAAAAATTTGAACCTTCTGAGTTTGCTTTCGTTGTTAATGGATCATCAGTTGCTGTTCATCTAATTGTTACTCCTCGGGTAAAATTTGTTTTTTATGATTCAGAATCTATTTATTTATCAATTTAAAAATTGCCGCTATCTATGAAAAATTTTTTATGATTGAAAGTGAAGACACTATCTAATGGTAAGTTCGGCTATTAGAAAACCATGTGTCTACCGCAATAATTTTATTCAATTCATAGAGAAAATCTTCGGAGGTGGAAATATCACTTGGCAGTTATCTCGCTCTTCCTTTCTTTTTGCTGATTGGATACAGTTTTTTCAACCACGAGAAGGTTAGATTTGTATAAATATTTTCTAATAGATTTATAATGGATTTAAAATATAATAGATTTATTATTTTACGGAGTTTTTATCGGACTTTCTTGTATTTACTTTTCATTTTTTTCTTTTATTCATTTAATTATATTTATTTTCCTGCTTTTTCTCCACCTCTCCATTAAAAATCCCCATTCTATGGGAGGACAAAATTTATTTATTTTTATTTCATTAAAGAAAGAAAAAGCATATGATATTGGGCTGAAATTTGAAGGATATAAAAACAGCGAGAAATTGGTACTTTTTACTCGTTTAATACGTCTTCTTATATCAGCATATTTTTTAACACCTCGTTAAATCCTCTGAATAATCCTTCGAACCTATTACTTTCTAGAACTCATTTCAGCTACCATCATATTCTCTGACCATCTCTTTTTTACTTTACATTCATTTAAAAGCCAACAGTCAATAGCAAGAATAAGTTAAAAGTCTGTTATAGCATGGAAAAAATGTTAATAAAAGGGAAATGGGAAAAAATATCTTTAAAGAATGAATCATAAAGGAAATATATAAAAAATATATAAATATATGTACATAAAAAGCAAAACGTAATATTTTAACTAGATTCGGACGATTCAAGGGATTTAATAATAATTTCATAGCATAAAAGTTTTAAGTTCATGGTAATAAACTATATGAGAAAGAAATACTATAGGGTTTAAAACAATATATCAATAGGTTAAAAAATTGGAAGATCAGACCAAGGAGTGAAAGAGAGGAGAGAGCGGATTAGATGTAGTAAAAATGTACATTTTGAAATTTTATTAGAGTTATTTTGTTAATCGACTAAAACCAATCTAAGATTAAGTATGGGGAGTAAAGCAAATATTGTATTTGGTGCTAAAGGTGCTTTCAGAGGAAATTAAATGGACAGTGGCATAGACAACAGAAAAATAATGGAATTTCGAGGAGTGGTTTCGAGGAGTAGAAGCTTAATTGGTTCTAAGGAAGTTCGAGGCTCAAGAACAAATTATCAACGGATTATAGGAAAGAAGGAAATATTAATATTTAATATATTTGAGTGCTGAATGAATAAAATGGGCTAGCGATGGCATAGCAGATTTTGGAGATGTAAGGAGTTTTTCAGTTTATAATGATATGATCACATTAAAATTAAAAAGAGACTAGCTTATTGAATAAAATACACATTTTTAACATAAATGGTAAATATTAAAAAGTTAACTCATATTGGCCTTCGTATTCGCTTAACACCATCTAACCCCATACATCTATATGTATATTTGTCCTTCATCTTCGATGTGCTATACTATACTTGGATAGGAAAAGGAAAATAGGAAATTTACCCGAGAGATATTCCAACTCCAACTTTCTTGGAGTTCTTGTAGAAAGTGCACAATGGAGTTTGAAGTAGAAGGAACTATTGTGGGACTTGAAGGAAATATGAGAAATACAAAAGATTGGTTATATCTTAACAGATTGTCATAGAAAAGCGCACGGGAATTTTGGATTAAAGAGTTGTGAAAAGAGAATATGGCCGATTTTTACTAATACTGATTGGCGCAACAAGTATGCTGAGTGATAATGAGACCTAAGGGAACGTGGTGAAGTTGGATCGTTTTGGCGAGATTTCTGGTATTTTAAGGAGATATGAAGGAGATTTTCCCCTCTGTCGGATTTTGCAGCACATATATATATATATATATATATATAGACCATATTTATCTTGCAGATTCTTCCATTGGCGCAAAAGACAGTAGCTCGAGTGTCGTCATTAGCCAGGCGTAGTCCAACTCCGTCTGATGATCAAACAGATTCTTTGCGAAAACGAGTGAAATCTCGAAAAGTTAATTGATTTTGTCAATTGATTTTGCTCTACTTTTTTTGAATTTGGCTTTCTGTTTCTTGTTCAATTTATTTACTGTGGTACCTTCCCTTCTTTGTTTTTAAATTTTCTTAATTTTCTGTGATCTCACATCAAATCAAGTGAATTAAATGGGTGCACGTTTTTATTTCGTTTTATTTCCCTCTTTGATAATTCTTCTGTACTTCTATCTAAATTTATCACATCTCACTTATCTTTGTAGACTGATAAATTGATAATTCCATTTCATTGTTTTCATGCATTATAAATAGAGTTTGTAGATTGTTATTTCTGTGATAAATTTTATTCAGCATTAACATTTTATTTATGGCAAAGGTGAAGTAGAAAACGATTTTTTTTTTCCTTGTTCATTGATTGGAGATTTTGTTACATCGTTAATATTATATTTTTTTTATTATATTATCATTTTATTTTTATATTGTAATATTATAAAGCAGATTTAATGAAAATATATAAGTATTTATCTAAACAATAATTCCAACTAGAAAAATATTATTTAAATAAAAATTCTTTGTGAATTGCGACAATTGATTTAAAATATCTCAGAATAAACATTCTACTTTATCTAAATCTAATTCATGGCGAATTCAGATAAAATTCATGAAACTCTCCTAAATTTTCTGGTAAACTTTTCCAACTTTTCCACGACTCAAAATCGATTTAAGGATAAATCAATACGAATTTAAATCAACAAATAAATTTACTGTTTGAAAAAAAGAATTAAATAATAATTAAAAAAATAAACTAAAAAATGAGGTCCCAAGGTCGACTGAGTAGAGAAAAAAATAAAATAAAAAGTCGAAAAATTACAAAAAAAAAGACGACCAACATTCGTCGAAACAAAAATAAAACGTAATAAACGAAATTGCTTCAAATAAACCAGCGCTTTGACAAGAAACTCGTATATACTAACCTCTATACTGCATTAAAAATGGTTAAATAAATGGCGTTAGGCTACCCTGAATATCATAGACAACACTACAATAAAACATGAGTGATAAAAAACAATTATTAATATTAATAAAATAAACTGAAAAAACAATGATTATGAATGATTATAAACTAAAAAAGAAAAATCCACAAATTCTTAAATTTCTATATTTATGACCGATTAATTAGTTAAACATTTTTTGTTTGAAAAATTAACTAATAAATAAACTAAAAAATTAATACGAATTTAAAAATTTAACAATAATGAGCAAAATAATAAAAATATTGAAAAAAAATTTAAAAACACAGTGACGACTGAAAGAAAAACACCATAATGACGAATTGAAGGCTGATAAGGGGTAAAATATTATTCATTCTTTAAATATTTATTAATTTGTCTTTTTAGCACTATTTTAGAAATCGCTAAATGGAACACTTTTATAACGAATTATGCTGAAAAATTAAACAGACTAATAGATTATTTTAGAAAAAATGCAGTGTAAACATTTGAATAAATGTTCAATGCAGGCTTCGAATTATCGACAGCTATTATATTTCCAAAATACAACAAATATTGTTGGTCAACGCTTATGAATAACAAATTATTCACGAGAACATATAGTAATAATACTATAAAAAATAAAATATATATACGTTATAAAACATGTATTATCGAAAAGAACTTAATAAAAAAATAAAAAATCGCAGAATCATAAAGCAAATATGGTTTTCAAAATGATGATATAATATATAAAAGAATAAAAAAACAAAAGATAATATTTTTCTACGAAAATTGGACAAATGCAAGTGCAATAAACTATTGCAGAAAAGCGATAATTAATAAACTGAACTTGATTCATTTTACTAAAAAAAACTTGGAACTCTCAAAACAATCTCAATCTCAACACATAATCTGGAACACAAAATCTCTTCCTAAAATTCACTTGATAAGTTATGAAAAAAATTTATTAAAAAATTTAAAAAATATAAAAAAATGACAATTCAAACAATGATAAACCTAATACTATCAAAACTAAAAAGAGTAAAGCAAAACTCACAGCTCGCTGAGTTGAGTTGCTGTTCAGTCAAGTGCTTCTTCTTGTATTTTGAGATTCAATGTCTTTGAACATGGCACATTTAAAATTTCCGATCGCAAGTCCGATCCCTCCTTGGATCTTGATGGCAATTGATCAGATTCTGATTTATAATGCGGTTTACAATCATTTTTTGAAGGCTCTAGATCCTTCCCGTCTGCTGGATTTTTCAAATGAAGAAATATAATCCCATTGATAATATTTAGCACTTCAAGTATACTTTGTAGTGATGGGCGATGAACCTGAAATAATCCCGATAAAGGAAATAACTTCAATAATTAAAATCTCATAAGTTCATACAGCTTGCTATTATTTCGGGTTTTTTTTCGGATTCCAAGCAGCGCTTTAATTTTATTGATTTTATATACTTCTTTTTGAACGAATTGACTAATAAGAATATTTGTTCTATGAGCAAGCAAAATGGAGATATACTCTTGACATTTTAAAAACTTTACTTAACGAAAATTTCAATTTAACTTAACGCCTTTATGTTATTTTCACAAATCTCAAATCCTCATTCCTTCAAAATCCTCTAATATCCGTTACACTCCTATTAACATTCTCTTTTCCTTCACAGTTTCAATAGTTTATAATTGAAGCTGCGATAAAAGAATGCTGAGTTTGGATAGGATTAAGAATAACAGCGAAATATTGCTGGTTGCAGTGGAATTAAAGGAAAAGAAAGTGGCTTACAACGCTATTGATAGACTGTCACAATAATGTAGCTAGACTTTGGAGATTATAAAAGTATTTAAAGAGATTTAGGAAAGTTTTTTCACACAGTTCTATAGGTTTTATGGGAAACCAAAGAATTCCGATGCGATGGACCAAAATTTTCTCAGGACCGAGATTCTTCTTCTGTTAACAGTTCTCACCATTACTGGTTAGGCTGGCTCCAGCGGCTACAAGGGTAAGACACTTCCAAGAGGCGCAAGAATTGTTGACGATGGCATCAGACCGAGATTAAAGAGTTTTCAAAGAATATTAGTAGACTGCAATAAAACTGCACGACATAACAAACCATTTCAATCAAACTCTGGATCTTTAAATATTTAGAAATCATAATAATATTTATTAAAATATTAAAAAATAAAAGAATAACAACTTCAACAGGCAAGAGCTGCCCAATGTTCGACGATCCTTGCCGATTAGCTTCATTAATACGTTTTTGAAAATTGACAGCCTGCTGCGTGAGATGTTTCAAAAACTCGCTACTTTCTTTGGTCTTTTCGTGATGCTCTCCAAAAGTCTTTGAGTAAACCGAAAATGTTTCCTAAGAAAGCCTTTATTTATTTCTGAATATTTAATATTTAAATTTTCCATTTGTAAAGGAAAACTAAAAAAAACTGAAAAATTTTGTTCCTATTTCTATCTATAAAACCGATCCATAAATCTTATTATAAAAACAAAATTTATGCATGCATCTACCTTCTCCATTTGTAATGCACTACGGAAATCACCACGACAAGATTGCGTTCGAGCTATTAAGTGATAAATAAGGGCCGTTTTCAGTGCAAGAGGTTCCGAATAAATCTGATGAAGCTTTAGAGCATTCTGCAAAAATTTCAACGCATCATCATATTCTTGAACCGCATATAAAATAACACCAATATTTCCATCAATTTGAGCAATTAAAGGATGATTCTCACCTGAAATAAACAAAAAATAAGGGAAACACTAAATATAAAGAAATGAATGTATTATAATACTATATTAATTTTTGCTTCATGAATTTGGAAACCTAATAATACATTAAAAATATGCTCATTTTAATAGATAATAGATTAGAAATTAAAATGAATGGGAAATTTATAGACAACCATGGCGAAGTAAATATACTACAGTTAAACAAACTACAGATTAAAAAGCATAAAGAAAGAAACCCAGCTAACCATGGACTAATAACAAAAGATATCGAGCTCGATAGAGTAACTTTAAAGACGCCACGATATGCAAATTTGCAAAAGAAAAATGAGCCAAATTTATCTGAAAAAATTGAATTAATAAAATCGAAGCAAGAATAAATTTAAATTTAAATTTCACATAATCATATTTTATTTCACATATCATATTTCAACATATTTCACATATTCATATTTCACATAATCATATTTCTTAAGTCAAAAATACCGAACGTAAATTAGCAAAAAGATTTGCCCTATGTAAAGAAGCACCATTTCAACAAGGTAGGCCAAGATTTCCTTTTAACTTTTATTAACACAACGGATTTCCAAAGAGTAGTTTATATAACACAAACAGTTTGGTAATATTTTAGAGGTTATAACAAAATCTGAGCATAATATAATGAAGTTCAAAGGAACAAATTTTGGCAATATTTGAAGAAAGACCACTAAGAAATCCAGGAAAATAGTATAATGCTTTTAAAAAAATTCCTATGGTCAAATAATGTAAAAGGATTTAGAAAAATATTAAGAGTATAGGTTTGGTGAAGCTTAAAGAGAACATAGGTAGTATTCGCAGAAAAGAATATGACAGGCAAGAAGAAATTTTCTTAAAAAGTTCTAAAATCTTAAAAAGTTCTAATTGGTTAGCGCAAAGAGAACATCAGAGAGATAAGGTATTAAAGAGAAACAACATGCTTCCGATATTGAAAGAGACTATATAGACTTCCGATATTTTCACTATAGTAAATAAGAGAATATAAATGAATTCCCTCAGGAAATAAAACCACAAATACAAATATAGTAAATTAGTACTTGGCTTATTATAAGAAAATAAAAAATATAAATGAAAAATGCACTTTTTTAATGAAAATAAAATTGAATAAAATCATGAAAAATCACGAAAAACTTACATATTCAGTAATTGTAATCGCACTATCTAGACCACTGCAACGTTCGCTGATCAATGTTGCTTTATGCTGTTGTGCTAATGCTTCAGCTGGATCACCCATAATATATGACAGACGCGCAAGTAAGCGCATACACTGCCCCATTTCTACATGCATTGCCCCGTATATATTATTCATTAAATTCAGTGATTCAGCAACCATATCATATCCAACACGCATTGCACCTATAAGCAAATGAGAATAAATTTTAAAACATACGTGATAAAAAATGGAAACCAATAAGATTCATTTTACCTTGTTGGACTTTAGCTTGCCCAGCAATAAACATATTATTTGCATCAATGGCTCGAGGATCAATATGTTTGCATACTGGATAGATATTTTGAATATCATCTTCAAGAAATAAAGGCGATTTCTTACCACTTTCTAAATTATAATCCTTGAGCAATACCTGAAATAAGACGTTTTAAGCAATAACCAAGTTTTCAAAGAAAATAAAGATTTGAAAAGCCTTAAAAATTAAAAAAATTTAAGTATAACCTTAACCTTAAACTGCAATATAATTTAAAAAGCTTTGGAGGCTATAATTTCACGAACCGATTCATAGTCAAAAAATCCCCAAATTTTTAAGAATTTTTAAAAATTGTAAATTTACCTGTATTCCGACCATTTGAGCAAATCGACGAAGTATGGAAGTCTTCTGAAGATTGTTTTGCCTAAGAAATTCGTCAATATTCTGGCAGTTAATAGCAAAAGCATAATAGGAACAAAATTCATTAAGTAAGTTCTCCCATAAAATTTTTGATGACATATTCGCCCAAAGATTGCAGCCTTTAATATGCCCATTGGATTGCTTTCTTCGCCGTGCACCTTTCGTCCGTTTTGAACCATTGAAAGTACTATTTGTCTAAATTTTCCATTACTGATCAGGAAAAAATCATCAATGTTACTAATAAAAATTATTAATAATACGCAAACACAAAATCACTTCATAATTTTTGATATTAATTATGAAATCCTGAACAAATATTTATAAAAAAAAAATTTGAGTAAAAAATAAAAAATTAAATTTTACCTCATCATTACTAAGCACAGAATTTGTAGTTGAACTCAACAAGCAGTTTAAAAAATGAGCGACTGCAGCTGCAATGCTGCAAGGTGTTACTGGTTGCAAGTAACCACGGTAAATATGCTTCGCACTTCGACAAATCAATTCGATCATACAAATAACCTGAAATAAATAAGTTGAAAAAACTTACAAAAAAGTGAAAAATAAAAATTTATTTTAACAAAAATGCATAAAAACTTTATAAATATAAATATATAAAAATATAAAAATAATATAATATATAAAAATAATAAATTATAATATAAATATATAAAAATAATATATAATAATATATAATAATATAATATAAAATAATATAATATACAATAATATAATATAATAATAATATATTATATAAGAATATATAATATTTAAAAATCAAACAAATGCAAAAAACACTCGCGCAAATTTGACCTAGATATCTTAATTTAGGGAAAAATTTGAGATTTGAGATTCAACTCAACGGCCTGGTTTCAATTTGAGTATTAAGAACAGTAATATCATCTTCTTGAATAAGCAGAATTATGCTCTACATAATCAAAGCGTACTAAATATGAAATTATCTATAGTAGACATTAAAAAATTAATTCAAGCAATAATTTTAAGTAATCAAAAGTAATTAATGAAAACCTTTAGATAAGCTAACTGTTCGACATCCTGAACATAATTTACAAGCCTGCCGAGATAACGGACATTTATACCACGGTCGTGGAGAGCACCAATAAGTGAAATTCCATCTATGGGCAAAACTGCGTGCTGAAGGCAATCGCGAACGAAATTCGGCAGTTGCTAAAATGATCGATAATTGCAACAAAATTAAGTATCTATTCTGAAATTTGAATAGGATTTTTATAAAAACCGATTATAACGATTATAAACGTTTAATCAATCGTCTCACTCTTAAAAACATTTTTAAGTGAAAGAAAGGAATACCATTGTAAAAAAAAATACAATTTTTAGAACTATATAAATAAACTATAATTATAAAATAATTAACTATAAATAAAGTATTAAAGAAAACCAAGAAAAAAACAAAAATTCAAAGTATATTACATGGACGATCAAAAATTCTGCCGCTTCTGCTACCAGAAGTCTCTGCTTAGCAAGATCTTCGTTATCAGCATGCTTGACAGTTGAACAGAAACAGTCAGGGTTAAAACGAATTTCAAAAGCATCTGAACAAACCGAACCCACGTCTTGAGCTGCTTTCGATATAATCTTAACAAAAACAGATTTATTTCAGAATTAAAAATAGATTTACTTTTCGTAAAAAACAAAAGAAACATATATAAATAATTATTTCGAATATGAATTTTCAACCTGCTTAGAAATATTTTTATCTAGTCGACTATCAATAACTTCTTCTTCAATCGTTTCATCGAAAATCTTCTTAGCAATTTCTGTTTCAAGAAGCAATAAGTCATCCTGCCGTTTTCCATCAACCGTTTCACTCTTAAAAACATTTTTAAGTAAAAAAACGGAATAGCGTTGTAAAAAAAATACAATTTTTAGAACTAATTACTAAATCGAATTCGAATAATGAACATAATAATTTTTAAATGGAAAATGGAAATTAAAGCGTGGTTTCGAATAAATTATGTTTTTTCCCTATGGAAGTAAAAAATCCATTTATAATAGTTATCATTATTTATTATTATTTAATTTTTTAAATATTATTATTAAAAATACTTTGAGCTGATCAATAGCAATCTCATTTTTTTCTTCACTATTTTCAGACTTCTGTTGAATTTCAAACGAATTTTCTGTGATACTGCCGCTGCTCTCTCCTGATAAATTAATTCGCATTCGCTGAATTTGATACGCTGCTATTCGAATAAACATTAAGTAACGATATCTGAAAAAAGAAAAATGTGGTATTTAAAAAATATTTTCATAAAATAAAATTATATTATTAATAAGATTATATTCACACAAAAAAATTATTTAGCTATGGTTAGTAATGCCTAAAAAATCGTAGAATGAAAAATTAGAACCAACAAATCGAAATCCTTCAATACTCCTCAAAATTTGTCATATTTTGTTCAAAAGCTTCCAAAATGCCACTAATTCAGAATTAATCACTCTCTGATTACTTGTATTTTTTTGTAATTATCCAAAAAATTTACCTAATGACTCAGTTTCAATTATGGTCCCTTAATATTATTTATCATTTTCCCTAAATTCCCAAGATTCGCAATTTTCTTTAATCGCACCTATTTTACAATTACAAAAGTTAATGAATGGGAGATATAATGGAAGTACGAAAGGATAAAAATGAATGTTAAAAGAAAAATAATGGGATTTGCGAGTATGAAAATAAGATTCGAAATATTAAGGGAATATAATAATAGATTGCTGGCCTGAATTTTAATAATTTACTAGCTCAAAAAATAAATCTTTCTAACAGTTTTCCATAAAAATATTTTAAATAAAAAGAAGAGATGCAAATTACAAACTCTACGAAGGCATCAACAAGTTCTTGTCTCAAAGACGCAAGTTTATGGGGAAACTGCCGTGGAAAACCACTGTTTTTGCAAATATCGGTAACTTGAACTCCTTCAAGGTAGTTGACATCAGGCGGAAAAGTTCGCAATAAATCCAAGATGTAATGCCTTGAATCATTACCAATGATCCCCTATAAGATTAGAAAAAAATTCTATTTTGAAATGATTTTCTGAGAAATGATTTTCTGAAAAAATTCGACCAAATTCGTCAAAATTTCATTTCAAAAATGGAAACTTTATTATCTCTCTACCTTAGTTTCGATTGAAGAAAATAATCTGAGAATTTTATCATCTTCTTTACCATTTTTAACATTGTGCGGCAATATTTTCAACTGTTCGGCTGGTTTTTCCAGAAGTTCCTGGTATTTCTATGAAAAAAAAGATGAATGAAAAAAATATTGATTTTATAAACGAATTTACAATATTACAAAGAAATTAACATTTTAAAAAATTGTTTGGAAATTAAAAAATATGAAACCATTCAAATGGAAGGCAATACCTCTGAGGTAACAACTGTTTTACCGAAATCGATAGAACCATAAACAACACTCTGCTCTTGTTCTCTTTCCAAAATCCCAGGGATAATTGTTTGAGCAGTTACTCTAAAGAAAAGAATCTTTTGAATCAAAAAAAGCAGAAATTCTCATCAAAAATTTGCAAAAAATTTGTAAATTTGTAAATTTCTAAAATTCTGGACATCTGTCTCCATATTTTAATCACATTAACAACACCAAGAAAAAGGAAAATTTATTAAGAATCCAAATCCAAACCCGAAGTAAAAACAAACAAGTCCGATCAACATTGTTGATTAAAACGATAAAGAATCATTTAATATGATAATATTCACCTGTACCCTTTATAATCAATGATCACCATGCCAACGGTAAATAATTTGGGATTATCAAGTTGTGCATAAGCATGAACACCTTGCAGATCATTAGAAGTAGCTGCATGAGCTGCGGCATCGCCACCCGATTCCTATATACTTTTTTTTTGAAATTAAGGAAAAGCACAAATAAAATTCTACAATTAAAAAATTCCTTATAAAAAGGAACCTTATAGTAATCTTTTACATCAAAACCGAGAGAAAAGAAAATATTGTTCCAAATGTACATACGAGTTCTTGGCTCTTCAGATGGATTAAGAGGAATCACATTGCCATCGATAACGGCAATTGCACCCTAAAATTTTTTTTTCTAAATATTAATAAATTCTACTAAACTGGATTCAAATTTTTTATGAAGAAATATAACGCGTCTGGAATGAAAAAAAAAACCTTACTCTACATACTGAAAGAAAGAAAACCTTTATGGCTGCAAAAACAAAATCGCTATGTATTTTAAATATGGCGCGCTCCCGAATAATTTTTTCTGTAACTGTTTCACGCGGTAATTCACGCGTTGTTTGTAGTTCTTCATTCCAGTCACGATTCTGGCCGGGTATATGGTCCTCTAAGCCAATACGATGTGGCTGAGTACAATCCTCGGCACGAATATCATCTTCTGTCTGTTCAAACGAAGGTGTTACCCAGCTTACTACCTAAAAAAATGTCATTATTCATCTCATTTTATTCCTTTCTAATTCTATGAAAAAAAATATGGCTTCAATTCGAATAAGTCGTGATAATTATTAAATTGTTAAATATCACAAATTTAAGATGAAGAAATGCCAAAATTGAATATAAAAAATTTATTTTTTACTAACCTGATAGGGTGTAGGTAACCTTTCCAAAATTTGCTTCTCGGCACGTCTTTTTAATAATACAGTTATAGCCTTTTTAAATTGAGCACTTATCGATGAAAGAAGATCCACAAGCGAATGATATATAGTTTTATGTGATTGTGAAGGTGCTGGGCGGAAAATACCTTCAGCAGTTGCATTCACATAAAAACCCTTCGTACAACAAGTTATATGATAGCGACGTCCCTCTAGGGTATCAACTGTCAAATACAATATATCACCCTTAAACATAATTTATTATCATATAAATCTGCAAATTGAAAGTCTATCAATGCAAAATAAATTGCAAAAAAACGAGCCTTTATCTTACGAGGTCCTAACGGAGGATTATATGATGAAATTGCAATATTTTTCACAGCAGATATTGCATCTTTATTAACTGGTAAGAGTGGTACCAAAGGGCGTTCCTTATAGCCAGGCATAATATATTCTGGAGGTGAACATACCACAGACCTAAAAAATTCTATTGCCATGTTCACATTTATCAAATTTACCTCTGCCTTATTTGGCCATAAAATAACGACCAATAATTATTAAGCATAAAATTATTGAAAATATTAGCATCGATGTTAAACCAACTTGTCAAAAGCTTTCTTTCGATCAATTAACATAGTGACCAAATAAGAAAGTGAAGCTCCATCAATACCATTCACTGCATCGACCGTTTCACCACCTCGAATTAGTTCTCGAACATGACGAAGGTGTATTCTAGCTTCACGCAAAGTATATGGTTCTATATGAAGCAAAAGTATAAGTAAATCACATTTATTCCAAATTTTTTAAACGCAATATCACAGAAAATTATTTTATTATTTTAAATTATTTTATTAAATTATTATTTGGTATTGCCTTCAAGAAGTAGAAGGATCAAAAGAAACTTCAAAAAAATTAATGATTGATGGGAAAATTATAAAAATTTTTTTTTCAATATCAATTTTTGTTAAGTAACACTAATTACCAATTACACAAACTCATTACCTTCGACAACTTTTAGCACGCAACCATCTTTTAATTCCGCAATATTTTTTAATTCCGTAAAACTATCTAACGAAACGCCATCAAGTTGTAAACTGAAACATGTACGATGACAGGTCGATTCACGCTCAAGTAATATTTGATGGATTTCTTGAACTAATTCGCCAGCGTTCACCTTAAGATTTATCAAATTTTTTTGTAAAAAGAATGAATATATTGAGAATGAATTGAGAACTTTTTCAATAATAAAAAAACACAATGAGAAACATAAATAAAAGTCGTAGCACCTCATCTTGTTATGTTTAATCAAAATGAGTAAATTTCAAGACAAGACAATAAATGAATGTTAAAAAAATCAAACCAACTTGCAAATCAAAAGGTTCACAGCCTGGTGCTACTATACGAACATGAAATGATGAATCATTTAAACAAGATGCTGTTTCATCAACGACGGATTTTTCAACTAAAAATCAAAAAATTAAATGAAATTAAATAAATTTTTCATATTTTTATAAAATTTATAATATTTATACATTTAAAGGAAAAAACCAATAATAATGAAAGCACCTGGAGAAGATGCTCGCTCTCCGTCTGGTGTTAACGGCGATACCGGCGACGAGAAATTCGAATTGCTCGCATGCCCAGAATCGTTTCCTGATGCTACATTATTTTCTAAACCGTCATCATTCATCGAATGCGTCGAACGATCTTGACTTTCCTGCGATAAACCCTAAATTATCAATAATTCCATCAAATAATTTTCATTGCGAAAAATTGATAAATGGTCTGAGAACCATTTTTTGCGAAATTATTCGTTTATTCAACTTTATTCTTATTTCCAACTTTGTTCATTCATCGAATTACATTATTTAAAATTAAATTTTTTTATAAATTAAATTATAGAAAAATAACTTAATATAATAAAATAAAATAAAAATTAATAATAACGTTAAGAAAGAATCAAAAATTTAAGAATTCAATCTAAAAAAAGATTTAATTGTTTATTAATTTATTGACTTAAATTATTTATTTTATAAAATTCATAATTTTCGTCATTACGAAACACGATCATCACTTTTAGCTTAACAAGGAGTAAACCCCGTCATCAAAACAAAAATAATGCTAGGATGGCTATTAGCCTTCAATTCTTCCTTCGAGACTGCATGGGTCCCAAAATTGGGTCCAAGCACTGCAACATGACGACATCCCTAATTCGACAGAAAAATTTTAAAAAATATTTTTCAACAAAAAAACAACTAACATTAAATGTAAGTGTCTCTTGTGATTTACTTATTTCATCATTAACCATTTTATTCGTTTAGTTCACACACCTGAAATATAACTTATTGATATTATTTTTCTTTCACTATTTTCAAACTGTTGAAAAATTCAAAAACTCATTTTAAAAAAAACGACAAAATTTTATGAAAAAAACTTAAATTAATAAAATTAAATAAAAATAAAAAATAAAATAAAATTTAGAAAAAAATGAAAATAAATAAAGCTATAGAGCAAAATAATTAATTAATAATTAATTAATTAAAAATTTTAAATAATTGAGAGGAAAAATCTAATTTAAAATTTTTTTTTAAAGAACGTAATATATTCTAAAGAATATATTATGTTGAAAATTTAAAATTTCTTTAAATTCTTTAAAAAATTTTAAATTTTCTTCACTAACTTTTAAAAATATTAATTTTAATTAATTAATTTTAATAATTTTACAGTTTAAAATTAATTAAAACACCTAATTTTATCACTTCAACACTCATTGTGCCAGATCTCTTAAATCAAAATAGCTTTAAAATAAATCGCTTTATTTGACAATAAAAAGTAAAAATTAACAAAAAAATTGTCAAAGATAATGAAATTTAAAATTTTTAATGTTTTTTAATAATTTAATAATATATTAAATTAAAAAACTGGATCGCACATCATCCAAAATTCAATAACGAATCAAATTATAGAGCTCCAAAATTTATGACGAAATACAAATAATGTTAAACAATGTGTCGACAGCTGCAACGAAACTCGAGTTCACGATCAATGTGAATATAAAGAAAACATTTAGAATCGGAACATCTATTTTTATCAATTTATCACTGCCTGAGAGACTGCCAAACTTCAAATATCTTGGATCCACTCTAATCTCAAATTGTCAAGTAAAAGATGAAATTGCTTGGATAGATAGTTTGAAATGGGTTCTTCGGGTTGACGAAACCTTCACGGAATCCCCGCAGACGAAAAAATTACCAAAAAAATGAAAGACAACGTCTATATAGGTGCAATTCGCTCGATTTTGCGATGGATGCGAGACGTGGCCGATGAGAGTGGAGGATATTTTCTTCGTTTTCCTTCGGCAATTTATATCTGAGGACATTTCGTCGAATGGATAAAATCTCACATGATCGCATCCACCTTTCCTCAAACACCAACTCCATTAACAATCAAATAGCACCGCCTTTATTTGCTAGGATACGTTCTTCGTTGTCCAGCAGTTGACATATATTTCTGTGATGGATGGCTTCAAAAGCGAAGTGGATCAACCACACAGTCTGGAAAGATTTTGAACGTATAGGTGGACCAGCGATGTACGGACGTAGACGACGGAGAAATGAATGGCCCTTATCATCAACGGCATCGGGTGGAACAGCTTGGAGGCAATCTTATCCTTCAAGTCACTCGAGCCACCCTAACGAGTAATGGTGAGAAGAAAGACACCAATAATTGTCAAATCACGTCCCATATATCACGTCACGTCATCCATTCACGCAAATAACAACGAACGGAATATAAAAAAAGATTATACGAACCTGAACCTATTAGCATTATTTACGAGAGCAAATAAGTCCGAACGGCTAAATTTCAAATGAACAACTTGACGTTGAGCTTGAAATTCCAGACTCGGAACGTGCACCGTCGTAGCTGAGCTCGTCGCGACTCCAACTCAAATTTAGCTCAAACTAAGCCTTCTTCGACTCCCTTCGATCCTTCGCGAAATCTACTGCAATAATTTAAGCAATAATTTGAATGACTTTTGAGGTCTCAGCGCGTTCTTCGATTACAACTTTTGCAACCAAAAAATCTTGAAGAGTTCCTTTCTCTTGGTACTTAGACTGTTTGAAACTTTTTGTTCGTATATAATCTATTTGAATCATGGAGTTTTGCCAAAGGAAATTTGACTGCTGCCCCAGTACAAATGATGAAAATAATACGGGATTCATGAAGAGTACCGTACCAAAATATATTTTTATTTTTAATTCTATTAAATATTTTTAAAAATTCGAGGAAAAAATAGTTCAAAACATTAAAATTGAATTCTTTGATCGATTTTTTTAAAACTATATAATTATATTTAATAAGTAATAAAAAATATATTATATAAAAATATATATAAAATATATATATTAAATATATTATGTAAAACCTATTTAAAATTATATTAATTAAAATTATATTAATTGATATTAAAATTATATTAGATTAAAATTATATTAATAAATAATAAAATAACAAATTTTTAATTTCAATTATTTCCAAAATTTATTTTTGAATGATTTATAAACTAAAAAATGGAAATAACCTATAAATAACTTTCTAAATTTTATTTTCAAAGAATTAATAAATAATAAAAAATCTAATTAAACGAATTTTTAAATTTTATTTTTGAATATTCATTCATTATATCTTATTGAAACAATTTTCTATTTTATTTTAAATATTATTTTATCTTTTATTTATCATTATCATTTTATTATTATTACTTTAGTCATTACTTTAGTCATTATTATTTTTATTTATTTATTATTGTTTTTATCCCGTAATTTTTTTATTTTTTAAAATGTTATTTAAATGTTATAATTTAATTATAAAAATATTTTAATTAAATTTAGTTTAAATAAATTTAAACAAAAAATTTAATTTAAATTAAGTTAAATTAAATAATAAATAAAACAGAAATGATTAAAAATAATTTGTAATAGTAATATACAATTGAGAATAAAACGAATTTATTCGCAAAGAAATTTATAATTTTGGTTAAAAACCGGAAAATACGAATTCATCGAGAATGGAAGCAGTTTCTCTTTTTTTTTCCTTCGATTTCCTATTTTATATTTATATTTGTAAAAGAATTTATAAAATGGATGATGCAAATGCATGCATTTCGTTCCATTTGCTTAAAAACCCGAACTTCAGGAACTAATGAACTGTGAAGTGCGTTCTCGAGATTCTCCTGACAAAGTCGCGTCCTTAACGAAATTCTTCGCATAATAGAATTATTGAGAAAGCAGAAGAAATGGAAGACTGAGGAGTTGAGGAATTTGGTGCGTAAAGAAAGATTATTCTTCATTTATTCTCTAAGCGGTCAGATTTTCGAGCAGTTGGCTTATTACTTACGAATGATGGAACTATTGGCTGCTATGTTCTTAATTCTTAGCGAACATTTCCAGTTCTTTGCTCTGTTGTACAACTCGAATCGTTGCACCACGTTTGAAGAAGCTACAGTGTATCAGTTCCACAACAAACCACTAAACAGTGAGCAATCTTCTTCAAAGTTGCCAAGGTTGCCAAGCGAATTAATTTTTATTCGACTATTTTGTCGTTCTAACAACAAAAGGATTGTTTTTGTCTTTGCATCTTCGAACGCTTCTTATTGATGTTCACTCAATTCGTGGTGACACCCATTCGTTCAATTTTCTACTCTTCCACTATACATATCACATAGGATATCACCTAATACTTATTGTTCTATTCCTCGTTGGAGACAAACTTGTTGGAAAATTCGAATGACACTGGCGACTCACATCTACTTCCATCCTCAGTGGACTCCTTGGTGCTATTCATACCTTCATGCAATCAAGTCTTTATCATTTCCTTGAAGATTTCATTCATGAAGTTTTGAGGTCTCCCTTTTAGACTTGAATTTCATGAAGCAATTTTTCAATGTTCTTTGTTTAGGTGGTATCGTCGACGAGCTGGCGCTGTCGCTCCATCTCCCCGTTTTTTGCTCATAAAGTATAAGAAGTTGAAAATCACGCCATTCCGTGTTAAATTTTTTGGAATAAATCAACCAGAAAAAATTTATAAATAAACTAAGCAGTATAAGCCGATTACATACGAATAGTTATACAGAAGACTAACAGGGATCCTTCCAACACAATCGCCTTCCGGTATATCCCTTCACATATTCTCAAAACTCGTCTTGCTTAATGCATTTTCGATTTTATTACACTGCTGTTACACTTACCCTCTACCTTCCTTAACTCCAGTTGTATTTCCACCAGTTATATTTCCAGTTCCCATAATATCTATAAAAATCGAAGATTTCCTGCAGCTTGGCCTCAATTTCTAAGCCTATTTGATCACAGCCTCATCAAAAAAGTACAACGGACTTTTACAGTGGTGCGTTGAGAAGAAATTTCCGGTATTTCCGGTATATCTCTTCACAACAAATAAACGTTGAAATTGGGAATAAAGCCTTTATCGACAAGACTTTATTCTTGAAATTCGCAAATAAACTAGTTAAAAATCAAACATATTCCTTCGATATGCTAGCAACTGCAGTGACAGGGCATTAAGAAGCACAGTGGATGTGGATTGTGTTAAGGCCTGCAAATGAGCCTGGACAGCCAGAAGGGAACTTTAAATTCATTTAGTAATTAATTGTAGCAGGAGAATAGAAGGGCTTAACGAGTATTTGGTATTGTTGGGAAGGTTTTTATAAGGCGTAACAGGTTTTAGGGAAAATGAAAAGGAGAACAAATTTTCGTTTTTCTTTTTTTTGCATTTTAGATATTTAATAAGTAATAAGCAAAAGTTCTCGGGATAAACAAGTGATAATCAAGCAATGTTGCTCATACTACTCCATTGCGCTTCGAGATTCGGACTACATTTTCAACAGGTTCAAACCTGTTATTAACAAATCCAGATGCTCCTATCGCTAGATGTTAGCGAAGCGAAAACTTCGCATCGTAGTAAAGGCCAGTCGTGCTAGCCTAACCCAAAGTGATTAAACGCTGACTGTTTTATCAAAAATCGCCCAAAAATGATTTCAAAAAAATTTGGAGGACTTATTATTTTGAAGGCAATGAATACTGTAAATGTAGGTCAATTAGCTTAATTGTAAATAAATCCCTTCAAATTTAATAAATTATTGATACTCTCCGCTAATCTCATAATTACCATATGGCGATGCAATAAATGAATTTAAAGCGAACATGACACATGCAAAAATAGCGAATTTGGGTCTCATGGATCATCGAAATTATAATCCCTCTCTTAATCCCTCAAAGAGAAAATGTTTTTATT